ATATGTATGTATTGTGATGTACAGTTTTGTCAAGAGAACATAGTGATCAAAGACATGAAGAGCAAGACATTTAAGGGAAATTTTGAATAAGTCATTGCAATTAAAATCATAGGGAAATGTATTTGAAAAAATATTTTAGAATATGAATTGCAACTTGCCATACCAGGAGGCAACTTCTCACACCAAGAGAACAGGACATAAATCACAGAACTAAAGATGATTTCCAGCTTAAGAAAAATTCAGAACAATTTTGAAATTAAATTCCTATTTAAATTGAATAAAAGTACAGGTACATCCAATGTTGAAATAATCCCTTAAATATATTTTAATATTACATGGACAGAATTATCTTCATGACTGCACTTCATTAAAGTGTGGTTTAAAATCATGATCTAATTCAGAGTTTTACCTTCTATATGTGTTTTCTATTTGTTCCATAGGTCATATTTGATAGAAGAGTGTAACTTTAAAATATTATTTTGAAAAATAGTGTGGCACTTTTCCAGGTTATCTCTAATAAGTCATCTCCCCATGCTACAGAACAAATTTTTAAGAGTTTTGATCAATAAAGAGCTAAAATTATTAAGCTATATTTCTCATTATAAAATGAGAACACAGGGACCGCTGAAATAGCTCAGTAGGATAAGTGCTTTCCTGGCAAGCGCAAGGGCCTCAGTTCAATCCCTGGTTCCTCCAAAAGAAGTAGATAAATAAAATAAAATGAGAACACATCTGATAATGATCACAGCTTAAATGCATACAAGGTTCCCTTAAACATATTACACATGAATATTTTATGTTCTGTTCTAATAAGAAATATGCTATATTCATATTCTAGCATTGCAATGATTTCATAATTTACCTAAAGATCTAGTAAACAGTAGCATATAAGCAGAAATACATAAAAGCACATTTACCTGCATATTGTGCGGCAAAGACTTTTTGAACCTCTGAACAATAAGAACAATAAAAGGGATATTTCCATTCTTTTATGATTACACAACAAATGCTTGGCTGCAAAGGAAATGGTGGAAATAAAAGAGGTTAATCCTTGTTCAGGAGTTAGTGATGCACCTGGAAGAGCTAGTGAGAATGATCACAAGGACAAAACTTGGGGGTTCAAGTTTCTGTGGCAATACTGAGGCCCAGAGAGTCTGATTGACATAATCTGTGTTCTTGCTCTAAATGCTACAAAAATTATACAGATGCAATTGTGAATGTTCTGTAAATAAGAGTCATGTTAACTTCTATAGGTTGATAATTTTCTGTAGCTACTCAAAGCTCAGCTTGCTTATGTCATGGATTTTTGAGATCTGGCCCAGTATTCACAGCCATTTACACAGGGGAGAAGGGCAAGACTGCATCCTGACTCCCAAGGAGACCCAGATAAGATCAGATGCAAACAGCCTTCGCCAGGATGCCCATTGAAAAGCTACAAAATGATTTCTGCAATTACAGTTAAAAGATCAGAAAATTTCAGTACCTTTAAAAAAAGATATTTTCCTGAGTTATACTTCTATTTATAATCCCTTGAAGCAACAATAGTTTAGTTGGTGTAAAATATACTTTAAGAGAAGCATTTGTGTTTTTTTTTTAATTATTGAGCATAGTAATTTACTTTGGCCTACTGCACAATCGGGCTCAGATGTTCAAGTCAAACAATAAAAATTAAAATTGAATATTTTGATTTTGTCTCACAATGAAACAAATTTTCTAGTATTTATCCCTTTAATACCTGTGAGCACTTTCTCATTATTATAAATAGTAATATATGAAGTGCTTGTCACACCCATCAAACTCTGAAACATGTACATTGTGTCTCTCCATCAGTTCCCCTTCACTCTCTGTTACATTATCACCAACATCTTTATCCTTTACAATATCCTCATTTGTACTATTATGATTATTAAATATTGTCTTTTTGAAAGATGGTCTTACTATGCAGTTCACACTGAACTTGAGCTCACTTTGTAGCCCAGGTTGGTCTTGAACTTACGATGATCTTCCTGTTTCAGACTCTGGAGAAATGGGATTACAGGTGTGTACCACCATGCCCAGCTGCTAGATCCTCATTATTTTGATTACTGGAACTTAGGGCTTTGAATGTGTGTTTTTTTTCTATGTTTTTCACATAGTTAACACATTGTTATACCACATATTTCAACTCTTTCATTAGAGAGTTTCTTTCACATTTTTTCCTGAATTACCTGTTTTTGTTGTTACAGTGGTAAAGATTGAATCCAGG